TTCTGAAGGTATAAAGTATTGGATAAGGTGTCTAAGTCCATAACTATATTTGAGATATACTTGATCCGACCCAACATGGTCCATTTGGCTTGCACTTCACCAGAACAATTTATATGGGTAATCTTTTGAGAGTAGTATGAAATCATATTATTTAATTAGTATTGATCTAAAATTAATTTAGAATTAATTTGGTGATAAAAAAGGTGACTAATTAAATATGTGATCTTGTATTTATATAGTGTGGGCTAATGCTTATTTAGAATGAGCTAGGCTTGCATGGAAGTCCATGAATAGTCCATGGAGCTTTAACCCATGGATCTTATGGAAATGAAAGGTCATGGGTATTAGGGTTTACATAGATGTAACCCTAATCCACCACACTATTTAAAGGGGTCATTGGCACCTGAAATGGCACTAGTGTGTGTGAGAACTAAGGTGTGGCTGATTTTCTAGAAGTGTGTTACTACTCTCTCAATTTTCCAAAGTTTGTGATGATTTGTGACTTCCATTTGAGGCATCCACATTATTGGTGCTAGGCTCTCAAACTCCAAGCAATCAATCACTACCAAAAAGTATGTAATTCTACTAGTGTTTTATGATTCAAGTACCCCATAACATGCTAGTTAGGATGTAACCCTTGGAAAATTATTATTTGTATGTATTTTAGAGAAAACATAGATCTAAGGTTTCTAGGGTTGCATGTACACCATAGGAGTGTTAGAATGCTCAAAACCCTTCATAAAGTTATGTTGGACCATGCATGAGTTTGAGGGCTTATTATGAGTTGTGTTTGGACGATGTTGGATCTTGGCATTTGAGAGGTCCCTTGTTCATAAAACTATCATAGATGAGTTGTGTTGGATCATGCATGAGTTTGAGTGCTTATTACGGTTTGTATTGAGGTTTTGGTCCCATTAAGCCATTAAAATAGAGTAAAGTTGCCGACTGTACGTGTTAGGGCATCTCATCAGGGTCATATCTGAGTTTAGAAGTCATTTTCTTAACTATTAAGAGCTTAATGATGATTTTTGGGTCCCTGTTGAATACGTTGGGCGTACGTGGAGGTATGCTCAGTGTAATGTTGGATTTCTGCATTGGTCGCTTGTACGTTGTGCTTCATGGCTGAGTATGTGGGGCATACGTCTCTGGTACGCAGGGCGTACTCCCCAAAATGGATATTTTGGGCTTTTTAAGGTTTGGGCCTTGTTGGGCCATTGGACTTCTGACTTTGGGTCATGGATAGTATTTGAGCTTTCTTGGTGTTGGTCCCATGATGGTTTTTGGGCCCAATTAGGAAGTTGGGCCATATTGGGCTTTAGGTTGCCATTTAGAGATTTGGACTTTTGTGTTATTAGGTTGGATCTTGGTTTTAGGCCAAGTAAGAAAAGGGTAAAATGGTATTTTACCCTTTAGGAAGTTGGATTATGGATCGGGCCTCGGATTTTGACTTATCGGGTTAATTATTAATTAAGGTTGTATTTATTGTTAGTTGGTGCGAGGTTATCCAGTTCAGCGGCCCGAGCAGTTAGTTGGTTATCAGCAGTTTGAGGTGAGTCTTCCTTCGCAGTATCTGTGGGTCAAAGGAACTAATGCTTTAGGAAGTTGGATTATAGATTGGGCCTCGGATTTTGACTTATCGGGTTAATTATTATTTAAGGTTGTATTTATTGTTAGTTAGTGCGAGGTTATCCAGTTCAGCAGCCCGAGCAGTTAGTTGGTTATCAACGGTTTGAGGTGAGTCTTCCTTCGCAGTATATGTGGGTCGAATGCACTAATACTGGCCTACTAGTTTATGATGTAGTGTAGTGATTATATTTATGACAATTTTCCGGTATTTCTGTATTTTCTTGATGACAATGCGATTGTCATGATATTATGTGGTAGTATTAGGGGGTGAAAATGGACCCGGTATCCGATTGAAATAGACCGAAGGGGATTGCAAGCACCCAGATATGATTAATAGTATCTGGTTGAAATAGACCGAAGGGGATTGCAAGCACCCAGATATGCTTGATAGTATACAATTGAAATAGATCGAATGGGTAGGCAAGCACCTATGTATGCATGTTAGTATCCGATTGAAATAGACCGAAGGGGTAGGCAAGCACTCACATATGCTTGACAGTATGTTTGATTAGTATGTGGTATTTTGGGGGAACTCACTAAGTCTCGTGCTTACAGTTTTCAGTTTATGTTTCAGGTACTTCCAATTTAAAAATAAAAGCCACGACTTGATCGTAGAGAATCCACCCATGTTTCCGCATTATGATGATTTTGGGAATGTACTCTTAAAACTACTTTTCCTTAAATTACTTCTTAATAGTTTGAGAAGGATAATGAATGCTTGACTTAAAGATAATTAATGTTATGTTTGAATTAAAAATGAAAATTTTACCTCATAATTTTTGGGACGTTACAAGTTGGTATCAGAGCCTTGGTTTGAGGGATTTGGACATACTCTCGGGTATGATCGAACTCAAACTAAGGTTTTGGTGAAATTTTCATAAAATAAATGTTTTCTTAAAGGTTTTTATAATAAAAGAAAGGGGTGTGATACATGCAATCGGCCGAGCTCCACTAAGTCTTCCCCAAATACCCATGCATGTTATATGTTTTATGCTATGATATGAAAACTGCATGCGAGATTAGGGTTGAGGACCTAGGAGAGATGCATTTGTATGCCTATTGTATGAGCTTGTATACTTGCATGTTAGTGCTAATCAGTTAGTGATATGGTGGCCCCTATAGGTTATGCATTGTGCTTTTAGGAGTTCCCATTAATTCTGGCTAACTAGTAAGTGAATATACTAAGTTACATATTATTGAGATTGGATAATTTTAGATAGTTAGGTTTTATCTTTATTGCGCAACTCGTGTCTGAGTCCAACTGTTGTAGCGTGAGACCTTTCATTCGAAGAATTATCTAGTGTTGGTAATATGTAACTATATTCGTAAGCTAGTTAGAGGGTGTTAAGGGTAGTTCCTTCTGTAGCTAATGGTGGGGAGTAGTGTGATGGATACCCTAGAAGAATCCAATAAGAATGATTAGTGCAGCAAAAACGCTGGTAGTTAGTAAGCTTGAGATGCCTTCTTGGTTAGTCTATGGATTGGAGTGTTATTGCACGAATGTTGCTTGCTTTATGCTTTGTGGAACTCTTACGTGATGTGAGTTAACTATTAAGTAAATATGTTAAGTCACATGTGGCGAAGGTTGAATAATTTTAGAGTTGTGAGTTTGACCCTATTGCACAACTCTTGTCTGAGTCCAACCGTTATGGGGATGAGCCTTTTACTCGAAGTATTATCTAAGCTTTGTTGCATGTGATTGTATTCATGAGGTGATTAACTGACATTATGGGGAGTTCTTCAGCAGCTGATGGCAGGGTGAGGGTCAGAAACCTAGGAGAGCCTAGGAAGTGCTTCAGTGGGTTTAGTTACGTTGTCTAGAGAGTACTTAGAGTACATGTTGTGATATGTCGGAGATGGTAAGATTGAGATCAAGGGTGGGTGTCGAGCTGGTTCCTTCTCCTGATATCACAATACACAGAAAAGAGATGATCGTTAGACAATGTCCAGGAGTGGTTCCTAGGATGAAGCTCCGACACTCAAGTTAGAACTGATTCCGAGAGAAGATAGAGAATGTTTGAGAGAAAAAAAGTCAAGTGCCCTTCTCCGTGGGGAAGAAGGGTTCCTTTATACTTGATTGAGAGGTGCGTGCCTCTTAAATGATTCTTTTGAGCCTTCCCTCATGAGATGAGACGTGGCGGATCTGTATTAAAGGATCCTCCATCACGTCTTTCTATCTTGTTCCCCTATTGGCTAGAGGGAATCTTCGATATAATGATGATTGTGGCTGTCGTCAGATAGGCAAGTGGAGCTCTCTGATTAGCTTCACGTTTGTGGGGGGTATTTCTCCTGGGAGGAAGAGGGTAAGGCGCATTTTTGTCCTTTAACCGCCATACCAGTGAGTCCATGCAAGCAGAGGCCCGACCTTGGTTTCAGACTGGATATGACCAAACTCTAACTAGGCTAACCTTGGCGCTAGTTTGACTTTTCTTCTTTAATGTTTTTCCTGAGGGATATGTTAACAAGTCCCTTACGCTTGTAGGCATATGCGTTAGCTTGGTAGCATCGTCGTTCGAGCCTACATTACAACACGTGTATGTCTGAGATTATTCCCACCATTAGACAGACTGAGACAACATCATGGATATATGCCAGATCCATCATGAGATAGTTCGTGACACTAGTTTCACCTTAACCCCCCCTTCCTTTACTAAAGACCTTTCACATTTGCCTTCTTTTCTTGCTTTCGTTGTAGTGACTCAGGTATTTTGTGATTTTTTTTTCTTTTTCATTACTCATCCGTTCTTAACGATGGATCGTTACGACAGAGTCTACCGTAGAGGAATTTTGTTGGGTTTTAGGTACTATAACACTCTTATGGTGCACATACAACCCTAATGCCTTGTATCTATATACGTTTATTATTGGTCTCAAATATCTAACATTCGTGAGTCGTGACCTCAGAATAAGGGCCTTATTTGAGACCGGAATATTTAGGAATTATAATAAATTATTTTTTAGAAAGGCGACATATATATTAAACTACTCATAAACTAATCCTGAATCCATCCATATCCCAAACAGACCTGGACCTTCAACCTAATGGATGAATAAATGAATACATATTGCATGAAAGTTTGATATATCATAAGGTTTATTACACCGTTGTTTATTATATGATATATGAGTTTTGAGATTTATTTTTTGACAAATTGCTTTGCAAATAGATGACTTCCATATATTGTTGTTTCATGATTATGTTCATTAACTATAACCTTCAACCTCCAAAAAGAACCGACTAATTGTCACGTGATCCTTAAATAACGTCATGAATAATGATGATAGATATTAAAAGACATGTCCTAAAAAAGTGATGAGAGATATTAAATAATATACAACTTGTTGGACAAGTAGTTTATTATATTAAACAATCTCCAACATGATATTGTTATGATTTTCCTTATATTTATTTTTTTCAAATTTAGTGGATTAATTGAGAGATTATTGTTAGCTGTAATTGTTATTACTACTATGGTTAATTTTTGGAAAGAGAAAGGTAAACGGGAAGTCTTCACACAGGCTGACGGCTCTCCGAAAATTTACTCGGTCCATCTGCTCCCTCTCCTTCTCTCTCTAGATCACAGTACACTATATTCTTCGGTTGCTTTATCATTTATGAATCTATAATTTGATTTCACATTGACTGCATTTTTGTGATTGAAATTGGATTCGGATCGAGAAACAAACGGCTATAGTCTAGAGAAACAGACGCCGCTCGGCTGGATCTGATCTGAGTCTAGCGGAGATGGCGTTGTCAGGTATGAGAGGTCTCTCCGTCTTCATATCTGAAATCCGTAATTGCCAAAACAAAGAACAAGAACGCCTTCGAGTTGATAAAGAACTTGGCAATATCCGTACACGCTTCAAAAACGAAAAGGTCTGGCTTCATTTCTATTTAGAAAAGTTGTATTTTTAGTATATATATATTTTCGCAAAGTTAGGTTTAGTTTGTTTGGTCAATTGAGGTCATTTTGGAAGTTCAGTAGAGGAATTTCCCGACATTAAGACGAATTCAAGAAAATGCAGGGTCAATGTAACCAAGAGATGCATAATGTTTCAAACTGAATATAAATATTAAGTAAAGAAAACACTGGCAACTCTTTGAAATGAGGATTTCTGAAACAACTTAGAAGGGTTGGTGAGGTATGAACCGATTCATCAAACTTATGTGCACTACTTTGGATTGGTCAATTGCCTGTCATGTTACCTGTTTTGACACTTTAAGGAGAAATGGTTAAAAATGAAATGAACAATAGCATAAAGGGAGTTTACTAATACAAACTAACAACTTGACCTGGGATATGTAAGGATTCAAGGAATACTAGTCATTTGCATCTATTTGACATTATTGGTAATAATGATTGAAAAGTATGAAATCCCTTTTGGCTATGTGGATAATTATAATTTATAGCCGAGTCAATACTTCAGTGATCTCTAGATGATGTATCATGATATGAGGATAAGGTAAACTAAAATCTGCATGCACTTTTGGTAGAAGAACAGGGATGACCTTGACTCATGAAGCTAGACATAAGCGTAGTTAGTGATCCTAGAAGATCAGTCATGAGTCATGTTCAACCCCATACAATATCAACATCCTTCCAAAATAAATAATAATCCTTCACATTTTTCTTGCCACAGGGGTTGACACCATATGACAAAAAGAAATATGTTTGGAAAATGCTTTACATATTTATGCTAGGGTATGATGTGGACTTTGGTCATATGGAAGCTGTTTCTTTGATTTCTGCACCAAAATATCCAGAAAAGCAGGTAAGCACATACTAACATACCCATTCCTTATTTTAAATCTGTTTCCTTCTCTGTATTTCAAAAAAAAGTGTTATGATCCTCTATTCTTATGGTGTGTGTGTTTCTTGAAGGTTGGGTATTTAGTGACATCATGTTTGCTCAATGAGAATCATGATTTTTTAAGATTAGCAATAAATACAGTTCGCAACGATATTATCGGACGCAATGAAACTTTTCAGTGTCTTGCATTGACAATGGTATGGAGATATAAAACCATGATTGTGATTTTTTAAGATCTTTTCTTTTTTGTTATCAAATTAACAAACTTTTACAGGTTGGGAATATTGGTGGTAGAGAATTCGCTGAATCACTAGCACCCGATGTTCAAAAGTTACTTGTAAGTCTAAAGTCTAAACTCCACATTTAATTTATAATATCTGTAAATGAAAATATGATTATTATCTTTTTCTTTAATTTTCTCAAATCTCAGGTCTCAAGCAGTTGCAGACCACTGGTGAGAAAAAAGGCTGCACTTTGTCTTCTGAGGCTTTTTAGGAAAAACCCTGATGTGGTGAATGTAGATGGGTGGTCTGATCGAATGACACAGCTATTAGATGAAAAAAATCTTGGTGTTTTAACATCATCAATGAGTCTTTTTGTTGCTTTGGTTTCTAACAACCATGAAGCATACTGGAGTTGCCTTCCAAAATGTGTTAAAGTATTGGAAAGACTTGCTAGAAATCAAGATATTCCTCAAGAATACACGTATTATGGTATTCCATCTCCTTGGCTTCAAGTCAAAACAATGAGGGCTCTTCAGTATTTCCCAACTGTTGAAGATCCAAACACAAGAAGAGCATTGTTTGAGGTTCTACAACGAATACTCATGGGAACAGATGTTGTGAAAAATGTTAACAAGAACAATGCTTCTCATGCTGTTTTGTTTGAAGCTCTTGCTCTTGTTATGCATCTTGATGCTGAAAAAGAGATGATGTCTCAGTGTGTAGCTTTGTTAGGGAAATTTATAGCTGTTCGTGAGCCAAATATCCGTTATCTTGGTCTCGTAAGTAATTTAATCAATGAAATTTTATAATGTTGCTATAATAATCTGTTGGAGTTATAACTTATAATGTTATATGCCTATTTTACCCTTTTGCAGGAGAACATGACTCGAATGTTGATGGTTACAGATGTCCAGGACATAATTAAGAGACATCAAGCTCAAATTATCACCTCATTGAAGGATCCTGACATCAGGTGTGAGGCTTAATTTTGCTATTAACCGATTTATATCATTTTTTTATTTAATATTATTTTTTGAATGCAGCATTCGGAGACGTGCACTGGATCTACTTTATGGTATGTGTGATGTTTCAAATGCTAAAGACATTGTTGAAGAACTATTGCAGGTAAACAGTTGCTAGATATTAATATAGTCTGTGTTCAATTATATATTTCAGTTGAATTTTTCTCATATCCCACTGATAAACATTTACTTTTAGTATCTTGGAACAGCAGATTTCACAATGCGTGAAGAGTTGGCACTAAAAGCTGCTATTCTTGCTGAGAAATTTGCCCCTGATTTATCATGGTATGCTGTTTGTTTTTTTTTAATCTAATACCAGATTTATGGGTTTTATAGTATTTTTTAATGTTGTGAATTTCACTTTTGTTATGACTGTTCAGGTATGTTGATGTTATTCTTCAGCTGATTGACAAAGCAGGAGACTTTGTCAGTGATGACATTTGGTTTCGTGTTGTGCAATTTGTAACCAACAATGAGGACCTTCAGGTAATTTTACATCCAGCTAATCAATTTTGGTGTTGTAGAATGTAGATTTGTATCTTCATTATTAAAGTTGATAAGACTTGCTGACTCACTTTTCTTTTTTCAATGATTAGCCTTATGCAGCTCTGAAAGCTAGAGAATATCTTGATAAGCCTGCAATACATGAGACAATGGTGAAGGTATGTAGATTATATCTTATATTTCCTATACAAATACAGACAACTGTATGCTGATGTCATCATGGATCTTTTATTATGCAGGTTAGCGCATATCTGCTTGGAGAATACAGCCATCTTTTGGCCAGACGACCTGGGTGTAGCCCAAAGGACATTTTTGTCATTATACATGAGAAGCTTCCTACTGTATCGTGAGTATTTCTATTTCTATACATCTTTTTTTTTGTGATCGTTATTTCTTCATCATCTAAGTTTTTATTTTATTTTATTATTTCTACAGAACACCAACAATTTCCATTCTTCTCTCAACATACGCAAAGATTTTGATGCATTCTCAACCACCAGATCCCGAATTACAAAACCAGATCTGGGCAATTTTCAGCAAGTGAGTTTATAATAAATTGGAGCTACACTTTTTTTTTTTTTTTTTTTTTTTCTATATGAAAATTTTGATAATATTTAATTTCACACAAATTGACAGATATGAAACATGCATTGATACTGAGATACAACAAAGAGCTGTGGAGTATTTTGCATTGAGTAGGAAAGGTGCAGCTCTGATGGATATATTAGCAGAAATGCCAAAGTTCCCTGAACGTGAGGTATATTTAAGTTTAGGGTTTTAATTGATTCATTCATATGGTGATTGTTGTTGACTTTGATTACCTTTTTGAAGTCTTCATTGATCAAGAAAGCAGAAGACACTGAAGCTGATACTGCAGAGCTAAGTGCTATCAAATCACGCACACAACAGCAGGCTTCTAATGCTTTAGTGGTGACAGATCAGCGCGAACCTCCCCAACTTTGTATGGTCAAAATCCCTAGTGTTGACCATAACTCTGTGAGTGTTGACCAAGAGTTGACTCAAGCTAATGGAATTTCACATGAAGTTGACCACCCTCAACCTGATATTCTTGGAGATCTTTTAAGCCCACTGGCTATTGAAGCACCACCTCCTGTAAGTGAAGATGATGCATTAGCTCTTGCACCTGTTGTAGAGCAAGATAATCTTGTAAAGGTACTACTACTGCCTGCCACATGTCGTATCCTCGTTGGCTATAAATATCATTTATTTATATTATTTTAAGTTTCTGTTGATAACCTCCCACAGCCGATAGGAGACATTGCAGAAAGATTTCATGCCTTGTGTCTTAAAGATAGTGGAGTTCTATATGAAGATCCTTATGTTCAGGTACTAAAAAGTTAAGTTTTATATATCACATACTATTCCATTAGATTTTTTTTTTTAAATTGAATTTTATTATTCCAGATTGGTATCAAAGCAGACTGGCGAGGTCATCAAGGTCGCCTAGTCATCTTTTTGGGGAACAAAACAACTTCTTCACTTACTTCAGTTCAAGCAGTGGTTCTGCCTCCATCTCATTTAAAACTGGAACTCTCATCAGTACCTGAAGTTATACCTCCACGAGCACAGGTATTGACTCCTATGTTTTTTTTTTTTTATTCTTTAATCTAAAATAAATATTTAAAAAATTGGTTTTTAACGATTCAGGTTCAATGCCCTGTTGAAGTGGTAAATCTTGGTCCAAGTAGGGATGTTGCAGTTCTTGATTTCTCATACATGTTTGGCACCAGCTTGGTATGCTCTTATGCTTCTTCATTCTACAAGACTACAACTTATCCATTTAGTCAGCGTTTGACTTTTTTTTTTTTTTGGTTAAAAAGGTTGAAAGTAAGCTCCGGCTTCCTGCAGTAATAAACAAATTTTTCCAGCCTATACCAGTATCCACGGAGGAGTTTTTTCCACAGTGGAGATCACTGGCTGGACCTCCTTTGAAACTTCAAGAAGTGGTTCGTTCGTCTATATGTCTTTTCCATCATGATTTATATTTGAAGTTTAATCTTTATAAAATCGAAACAGGTAAGAGGTGTAAGAGCTATGTCATTGGGTGAAATGTCACATTTGTTCAGCAGTTTGAGGCTTATAGTTTGCCCTGGACTCGTAAGTTTTTATTATGACTGACTATTGTAATTTGTAAAAAGTAAAAACACCTAACATTTTAACTTACTGTTTTTGTTTGTTTTTTTAAGGATCCAAATCCAAGTAATTTAGTTGCAACCACAACATTTTATTCAGAAAGCACACGGGCCATGTTATGTTTGGTAAGAATCGAAACAGATCCAGCTGACAGAACACAACTCCGCATGACAGTTGCATCACAAGATCCAACACTAACATTCGAGTATGTTTTTCTTTTTCTTTTTCATAATATTTTATAGCAAAATACTTGGATACTATTTATATTATGTGTGTGTGTGTATATATATGTTGATTCAGGTTAAAGGAATATATCAAGGAACACTTGATTAGCATTCCCACAGCCCCTAGCATGCCACAACAACCTCAACCAATTGCATCGTCAGATCCCGGGGCTTTACTTGCTGGTTTGCTTTGAACATAATTTTTATCCGATATTTTTTTTTTCATGGCAATAAAAAAGAAAAAGAAAAAGAAAAACCGTAGAGGGTGGGTGTTACACTAGAGTTGGGGCTCTTTCGGGATTTTTTGCACAATTAGATTGTGTGAGTGTTGGTAGGTGGGGTTTGAAATTCTTTGAAACGTTTACATGGTTTATAGAGGGAATGGGAATTGGGAAGTTGCTTCATTTTTTTTTTTTTTTTTTTTATCTTCATTATTGTGTAATGTAATATGGATGCGATTGGGAGGAAGTAAAAGAATTGTTGTATCTAAGGTTATTGGATTTCATTGTCTGGCAATCAATGCACAGATATATATATATATATATATATATATATATATATATATATATATATATATATATATATATATATATATATATATATATATATATATATATATAATATCCCTGTAATTTTTAATTACATTTTCTTTGTTTCTCGCCTAGGGATTAAACCTAATAGTTAATACTGTTATGTGTGGCTTTTTTAAACCTAATAGATATATATATATATATATATATATATATATATATATATATATATATATATATATATATATATAATATATATATATATATATATATATATATATAATATCCCTGTAATTTTCAATTTCTTTCTTTGAAAAGTATATTGTACTCTCTCATGGGTCTTTATGCAAGTCTTTCGGTTTTGGTCTTTCCATTAACAGGTGTTTGATTAACACTAAAATGGTACTTTAAGATTTACCAAAATTGATACATTAATTAAAAGTTAATAAATAAAGGAAGAAACTGGGTAATATGTGAATTGTAAATAACGCACAAAAATTATATGTATATGAACTTTGCCTTTGGTCTCAGAATGATCATGTCTTTTTTTAAACCAGTTTCTTCGGACCAGTCTATTTTTAAAAGTTCGGTTTTTGTCGTTTTGTTATTATTATTATTATTTTTTTTTAAAGACCAGTCTCTCTTTTGTTCATGTTCAGTTGTCATGTCAAAAGAAATTCAATGTTGTATTGACATGAATTTATAGGTTACCGTAGGTCGATAAAGCCATCATTTCTCTTTAATGGAAATGGACAAAAGCCTGAAAATCTTTTTACTGTTGGGATTTTAACTAGTACCATATACTTCCAAAAAGAAAAACTAAACTATGGATATTTTTACGACATATTATTTTTATAAATTTGGTATAATCTTATTTTATAATTTTACCGGATTTTTATTGTATTTTTTTTTATGTCTAAACAAAATGAGATAGAAGTTAAAAACTTATAAAGAATATTATTTTACTGTATTTTTAAAACAAAATAATATTATTATAATCTTATTTATCCTCTGTCTTAGAATTAATTATATTGTACTTTTAATCTATCTAATTCAAACAATCTAGATTGTACTTTTAATCCCAGCAACTTGCTGGGGTTCTTTTTTTACTATTAATATATTCTTCTTTCGCCGGTTAAAATTTTTTTTCAAACAATCTAGATTAGACAATTAATATAATCTTAGTTTCTCAAAAACTGACTTTTCTTTTAATAAAAGCAGCTTTTTATTTTCGAAAAACCATTGAAAAATTAGAGAAAACTCGAGAAATGATAAAAAAGAGGGGATGATTTGAAGAAAATAACCAAGGAAAAACACATTTCAGAAAATGACCAAAGGATCCGCAGAGCACCCTTTGCGGATCTATTAAGTCCTTTGCGGATTTGCTACACCTCTGCGGAATTGAGTTTCTTTTAATTTTTTTAAAAAAAATTTTGCGTTAATTTTATTTTATTAATATTAATTTTTTTTAAATATATTAATACATTATGTGATTATTATGTAAAAAAATTGAGAAAAAGTTTTTTTTTTTTTTCCTTTTTTTTTTGCGTTAATTTTAGTTTATTAATATATATTTTTTTTAAATACACTAATACGTTATGTGATTATTATGTAAAAAAATTGACAAAAAAGTTGTTAAAAATAATGAATTGTTTTATTTAATACGTTTGCCAATGATGTATGTTTTCAATATATTTGTACTGTTTTGTATTTTATGTTCTATAGAATAAAGTAGAAGTTAACTCAACTGTTTCGTAAATAACATAATACAAACCAAATACATAATAATGTAATACAATTTGGTGCATATAAATAACCTAATTAAAATTATACAAATATTCCATATTTTTTGAAGTCAGCGTTGAAAGCATAAGTTAAACGGGTCCACTAACCTGGATCATTCACCCTGGTGGTCTCGTGGATATTAATATATGCACGAGTTAGACGGAGTTTATCTTCAACGCTCCACTGTATGGAAGCCATTATGACGGAAAATATGAGGGTTAATTTTTCAAAAAAAAAAATGAAATGAAGAAGAAATGGTACAAAATCGATGAAAGGATACGCATGGTAAAATGATTTTATATTACTTATTCCGCAAAATTGTTTGGTAATCCGCAGAGCTGTTTGTCAGACATTTTTTTATTCTCTAACAGTTCTACGTATTCCTTTAAGCAGAAGTGTACACTAATCTGTAGAAGTGATTCCAAGAAGAGAATACGTATGTATACTGATCCACTGATAACAGTTATGTGGATTCCCAAAGAGTTCTGTGGATTGATATTAAACATAAGTTCATTATTTTTAACTTTTTTTTGTCAAATTTTTTACATAATCACATAAGGTATTAACGTATTTAAAAAAAAATAATAATATTAATAAACGAAAATGAACGCAAATAAAACGAAAAAACGAAAAAAAAAATTAAAAATCAGAAAACAAAGATTCCGCAGAGCTGTAGAGGATCCGCAGAGGGTGCTCTGCGGATTAAACATAAGTTCATTATTTTTAACATTTAATGGATCCCCCGAATTAGACCTCATTCAAAAAATTTATATTAGTGTATTTAAAAAAAATTATATTAATAAACTAAAATTAATGCAAAAAAAAAAAAAAAAACTTTTTTTTCTCAATTTTTTTACATAATAATCGCATAACGTGTTAGTATATTAAAAAAAAATACTATTAATAAACTAAAATTAACGAAAAAAAAAAATCAATTCCGCAGAGGACTTAATAGATCTGCAGAGGGTGCTCTGCAGATCCTTTGGTCATTTCTGAAATGTGTTTTTCCTTAGGGGCTGTTTGGCAGGATCTGAATTTTTAAGATCTGAATTTTTAAGAGGTCTGAATTTCTAAGAGGGTCTGAATGTTTAAGATCTGAATTTGAAAATGTTGTTTGGTTGGAACATCTGAATTGTTGTTCTGGAAGATAAAAATGACCATTTTACCCTTTTGTTTAAAAATAATAATAAATATTAATAAAACCACAAAAAAATTGAAGGAAATCAAAACTTTTAATCCACTACATATGTTTACAGCTTTTAAATACAAATTCACCAAAAATACCAAATTAGGACAATGAAACAAGAAATAAACCTTTACAAACTCAACATATAAATTGTACACTTTTAATGCAGAAATTACAGAAAAATCCCTTTATAGCAGAAATACCATCCATCCCTTGTTTGATTATTTCTTTTGATTCCTGGAGAAAACTGGCACTCTTTTGAAGCTTCTCCCTTTCTGCAGCCATTAATGATGCTTCACCATTCTTTTCAACACAATGTTCCAATAACCTTCCAACTCAAATTCAACTGGATCAAAGAAATATAATTTCAATTCAGCCTCATAATCGGGGACAGCCTCCAAAATTCTATCCCGACTCTTACCCATTAACTTGTTCCAAGTAACATAATAAGGGTCACATGTGTTTACAATTATCATCAAATTTCATGAAAACAACTTCAAAGTCATATATGAAAAACCAAGAACTAGTTCAACCACAAAGGCCACAAATCGATTTTCAACCTTGCATCAGGTTGTATTTCAAATATAATCAAAATCATGATGTTATTCACATAATCAAAAACTTCGAATGCAAAATCAAAATCATGATGCTATTCACATAATCACATGGCAGCTAATAAAGTCACTTGATAAATAATTTCCAACCCCTAAATCGACCTAGAATAGCAAATCGAAACTGTAGGGCCAACATGGGGGACAACTTTGTAGATTATGTATAACATTGGAGAGAAGTGTTTTACTAAATTGGTGTAACAATCAGCATCAAGTAATTAACTACAGTTGATTTTGGATGTGATTGTTACTGATTGCATTAAAATCACTACCAAAAACAAACATGATCCAACACATCAAATGCACAACTGATAGCATAACAATTTCGCTTTTTTATGTTCAAGTTTGATGGCAAAGAAGGAAGAAACAGTGAATTCGAGGGGAAAGAACGAAGAAACACAAGAAGAAATAGAAGAATACCTTGTTGTTGGCTGCGGCAATCAGCAGAAGAATGAGACGGAGATGGAGGCAGCGGAGGAAGGCGACGTTGCTGGCTGCAGCGTCATCGGCGATTAGAGTGGGCGGCGACCTGGCGTCGTCGGATGCTGAAGAGAAAAGACGCAAAGCAAGCAGACGCAGGGGAAGAAAAGAAGAGGCGTCGGTCTATTTAGGGGCAAATAGGGCATCTTAAACGCGCGTCTCTTTTTTTTTTTGTTTTCAGACTTTGTTTATTCTCTGAAAAAATAAGAGGCATTTCTCATTTTAAGAGGCGAAAAATAATACACAAACAAATGGTCTGAATCTGAAATTTTAAGACATTACCTCTTAATTATGAAATTAAGAGGTAAACAAACAGGACCTTAGTTATATTCTTCAAACAACTCCCCTTTTTGATCATTTCTCGAATTTACTCGAAAAATTATTTATTCGTGTACCGATACAATTGAATGAACGTTTATTTATTTATTTATTTTTTTGTAACCTTTTTATGTTTAGAAAAAAAGATGGCTTTATCGAAAAAGAGGTTAAAGTTTCAGGATTTATTTTTAACAGTTACTCTTTTTTATGGCAAAATAAACAAGGATGGTGGCTCATGTTCATATCACAAGTTCTTAGAAAACGATTCAGCAGTCACATGCGTTCATATTATATGCTAAATTTCCAGCAACTTGAGTAATAATATATTATAATGATATAGACCTGTCCAAATATAGGGCATCTTCCTAATCAAATTCATTATGACCATATTCCATTTATGGTTTTGGTATTACATATAAAAATTCTTTTGACTTTTGTCCAAAGCAAAAATATCTCGTAACAATTTAAGATTCTCAAAAGTAGTAGGTCGTCTAATGCTTAATCCATATATAATTAATAAAATACTGAAAGTCGTTTTTTTAAATTATTTTGTGGAAAAAAGAGAGTACAATATACTTTTGAAATAAGAAATCATTAAAGCAAATACATGTAACTATGTAAGTTTGTTAACAAACCAACTGCTCATCGGAATATTGATCTATTCAACGGGAAGTTTGATTACTTATTAATGAAATAAATAATTAAATAAGCTTGAATACGATTTTTGTTCATCTAATAAAATGAACGAACGTAAATTATGGTCTTGCTTGTTCATGTATATTCATGAATTTTTGTTTCTTTATGTTTAGTTATTATTTATATAATATATACATAATGTTATACAACCTGTAAAGAGCATAAAGGGAACATCTAAGAGCATATGGTATGGGCAACGAGATATGTTATCATTGCTGATGTGATACCTCATAACCTAATCATAACAAGATGAACACCACCCCCTTCTTGTTAAGAGGGTGTTATGGCATATCTCGTTGTGATGAAGACAAGTTTCAATGGAAAGTTTAATTGATTGTTGTATTTATCAACCAATCAAATCCTTTTCTTTCTTTGTCTCTCTACCTTTTAACATGTTATAACATGGAGAATACCATTTTCCCTTTGGTGTTATAGTAGTGTTACGGTTGAGGTGATATGAATTTGGTGTTATAACGTGACCCATACCTAATGCTATAAGAATTGTTCAAGTTTTACAATTTTAAGATTTGATAAAAAAAAATATTAAAGTGTTAAGTACTATCAACACACTTTATTGCAATGGTTTCTCGATTTTCAGTGGACGTACTCGGCTAGGTTGACAGGAAGTAAACGGAAGGCTTTTGATACGGTGGTTATTTTTGCTTTATGGTGTTTATGGAGTTTCCAAATTGTCTTCTTTTCGGGTCTTCTATCTAGGAAATCTAAGTTGTTTGATAATGTGGTTATAGGGTTTTTTTTTTTTTTTTTTTTTTTTTTTTTTTTTTTTTTTTTTTTTCGATTTCCAAATTGAGTAGAAAATCTAAAATTAAGAGGGTCACTTGGCTTCAAAATCCAGTTTTTGCATGCACTTTATTGTAATGGTTTCTCTCTAGTTCCTTGCTAGTGCTTTATTAATTTTTGGTACGACTATGGATGTGTCTTTTATTACTCTCTTAACGTTGGTTCGTTTGTTCGATTAAAACCTAAACGAATGAGAATAAACAAGTTGTATATATATGGTATATCTCCAAGAAATGCAAATAAATCATCTCTAGAAATTTCGCACAAGGAAAAAAAAAAAGTAGACCAAACATTTGTTTAATTTAATGGTATGAAGTTGTACTACAAATACATGAGTTCCCAAACAAATAATAAAAAAGAGAGTACAATAATAGATGGCACATTACAATCATAGTCGACTCACTCTCCTATTGCCACCATATTATTTCCCTCCACAAAACATAAATCTAAAAAAAAGCCCAACTCAACATATAAATATTTAAAAACAAAAGCAACATAAGAAATAAACTTCTTTTCTTCTTCTTCTTCAACTGGACTCGATTCAACTGTATACTATGCTCTCTAACAAACAACCTAATTAAATTTTCTTATGTCTCCTTAAAAATTTTCACAAACATCCAACCAAAAACTCCAATCTCTTTCCTCTTCCCTTTCTCAAACGGCATGGGCATGTGTTTGTTTTATCAATCACACGAAAGATTGTATATACTGTGAATAATTTGAGATATGGAAAGAGTAAAAAGATGTAGGCTTTTGCTTTTTTTCTTTCTTTTTTTTTTTTCGATTTCAGTCCATGCATCATCTTCAAGAGCTTGGGACGATGGTGCCAACATAACCAAATCCAACGATCAAGAAGGTGATCGTCTGCAGGAAGATGTATATAAAGTAGTTGTGCTTCCCGTACATGAAATCATAGCATCCAGTGAAGAACAGGAACGCAGCAAACCCTAGCTCGGTTAGATGAATTCTACATATCACCAAAAATTAACCCTAATTAAGCTTAATTTCTTCAAACATTCAAGTTGAATTGATGAAAGAAAGGTATAACGATTTGAATTTACCTGTCACCGAAATTGAAATTGAATTTGAATTTCTTTGGTGCTTTGGCGTTTGATTTGTTGTTCTTGAGAGCATCTCCGAGTTTTTCAGTAACGACCCATTCGTTTGATCTCTTTGCGTCAAGTAAACCAATGAATGTGGCTTTAGTCCGGTGAAGTGACATCACATTTTCAAACAGAATCCAGTAGAACAATAAATGAATGGATCTGAAACAACAAAAGTTGAATTAGCAAACCATTTGATGTGATTTGATGTGATGAAATGTAAATATAGACATACCTTGGAGTTCCGACTGAATTCAAGGTGGTGATGACGCAGGGGATGTAAATGGCGCCCCAAATGGGTACATCAACCTCAGGGACCAATATCGTGAGGGGAAGAACAACGCAAAAGAAGAAGAAAGTGACCATATGAGCAATGATCTTTCTTACAAAGAAGAAACTGTAGATCACGTAAAGCTTCTTCCATAATGTCACTTTCTGTAACATTAATGCAATGAATATCAAAAAATAAATACATGTGGAGATGAGAGATTATCATTTATCAATGAAAATGAAGTTAACTAACCTTGTTCCTAACAATCTCCATCACCATTTTCCTAAACAAATTAGCAGGACCACAGGACCACCTATGTTGCTGATAACGAAAGGCTTTGAATGTACTCGGAAGTTCGCTTTTCACCTACAAAAAAAAAAAAAAAAAAAAAAAACATTCATCATCATAAAAATCAATTCATCAATTAATTAATTTTTGTTTTTTTTTTTTTTAATTTTATTTTGATGAATATTTGATGTACTTACCTGAAGATCACCAAGATACAGGAATTTCCATCCTTTAAGACCTGCTCGAACAGCAAGATCCATGTCCTCCACCGTCGTTCGGTCCTTCCACCCTCCGGCTTCATTAATGGCAGCAATCCGCCACACGCCACCAGTTCCTGTATATTTTATTAATTATTATTAATTACCATCTTACCCCTTGATTATTTTATTGAAAATTTTAATTTTGTTTATTTGTTTTTATATTACCGTTGAATCCGAAAAATGCATGAGTAGCTGATCCTACTTCTTGCTCCACTGTGAAATGGTAATCCAGCGACATCTCTTGCATTCTTGTCAATAAACATTCATCAGAGTTCACTGCAACAAATTAAAAAAAAAAAAAAAAAAATTATTGTAAATATTATTTAAGAAAAAAAGGTGAATAGGAAGTAAATGCGGTGTCCATGTGTGAATATTGTGGGCCCATGACCAATCGTAGCTACATGACACATGTCTCTACATCACAAACACAACACGCCATTCAGCACATGAACTCACAGCTTGTTGTTTGTCAACATCCCACGATCACCTTTATATCAACCACACCATCATCATCGCCTCTTTTTATTTAATCATTAATTAAAAAAAAATCTTGATATTTTTCAATTTTTATAATTAAGTATTGGTTTTTATTATAATGTTCTTCTATTTACTATTTGTTAATAATAATATATTGTAGATAGTAGACTAGACTCTAGACTAGAAATGAAAATGAAGTAGGTAAAATACAAAAAACGATATTTTAGATGGTAAGAAAAAGAGTGTCGGTGTGAAACTAGAATCTACCAGCTGTACCAACGACAATGCACAGAGTACACTACATCATGGAAGCATAAATGCACGTGGACTCCAGACACACCTAATTACTATATTGCCCTTGTACACATTGAAGTTGCTTCCTCTTTAAAAATTACAGGTCGCTTTTGAGTGTTAAAGTAAAAAAAATATATATATATGAATGATAAATGTAGAAATGACGAAACCATCCCCTGTACCAGCAACATTTATGCCGACTGTTGTGGGGTGGCCCATGAGTTATTTCCGGACATTTATGTCAATTTACTCCAAACTCCAATACTTGTTTTTTTTTTTTAAAAACTAGGGTACAACTTTCTAAGCACATGTTACAACCCTGGATGCGTTCGCAAAGTAAACAAAGTGGAGGGCGCTACGATTCCGTGATTGGTGGAGTCTAATTGGGCAACGGAGAGCAATTAATTTACATGTTATCGCCTTGTACCTCACTCTTTTTTTAGCATTCATCCTTGTACTTTCAAGATATGCTCTCTGTAACTTTCTAAACTTGGTTTATTTCCACAAAAACACCGCATACACAAAATCTAATCAATTGTTACACGAAAATGTTGTTTCAATGTTAACAAAAGTTTGTACATGCAAATAGATGGAGTTTGGTATCAAATATGTACATGTCAAAAGTTCATATACGATACAGCTCTTTATTCAATTATTTAGATTTAGATAATATAACTCACTTTCCAATGCCTTTTTTCAGTAAAGATAATAATAACATTTTTTTTATCAGGAAAAGTATTCAAAGGTTTGAAATTGTAAACGGTGTTAGCTGAAATAAATGTCTTTGAAAATTAATTTTTGTGCATTATTACAAATAAGAGAAGAAATTATGTAGTTCTTGTTGGCATGTCTTTTCTCATGACTTCAACGTATATGTTATATGTTTATTCATTGCATTAATTAGGTTGCAGAAAAAATGTATTTTAAATGTGTTACTATTAAATGATTAATGTACAAGTTTAATAAATAATTAAATTATGATTTAAATAATTTTAACGAGATAAAAAAAAAAAAAAGAGGATGTATTTTTTATTTAAAAAAAGAAAAATGTTATCACCGACACTTTTAACATTACCCATCAATACTCAACGTCAACTGTACACTTTCTTACCCTTTAAAATTTATCTAAAAAAATAATAAAATATTATAAGATTTAACAGAAAAATGAGAATGAGAAACTTACCAAAACGCCACCGAGCTTGAACTAGTGCGATTTGGGGGTTGAACTCAAGGAAAGGAATGGCTCGCCGGAGAAAATCTGGCTCCGGTCGGAAATCGGCGTCAAAAATGGTGACGTATTCACAGTCTTTGACATAATCATGCTTTAATCCTTCTTTAAGAGCACCGGCTTTGTAACCTCCTCTGCTTTCTCTGATTTGATACTTAATGTTAACTCCTTTGCTTGCCCATCTTTGGCATTCTTTCTCGATCATATCCTAAATTAAAAACACAATCTAATCAAAAATCTAAACAACAACATCGTGAAACTGGCCTTTGTCGTTTTCTGAAAGATGCAAGTTTCTAAGTTTTAAATGTGAAATGAGTTTATTCCCTTGTTTGATTTGATAAGATAGAATTTAATTAATTTGTAGAAACCCAATCAAAGTAATTATTGCTTTAGATTATTTGAATCAGAAACTGTTCACTTGATTTTTAGGAAGAAATTTCATATGGAAAAACACTATTAATGGTAATGAAAAACATATTAATACCGTTACTTGGTTTATGACATGTAACAAAATTATGGCAACGATTCACCAAACTCGGTCTCAAAAATGAAAAATGGTGTAATGATTTGAATAAGTAAAAAAGGTTTGAATGTGATGAATAATTATTGAAATCTTCTTTATGCTTTGATGAGTAGTACTGTATAGATATATAACCAAAGATGTAAAATTGGCTTTAATGAGTTGTACCTTGATGACAAAATCAGTAGAGTCATCAAGTACTTGAATCACGAGTCGATCGGATGGCCATGAGAGATTACATGCTGCCCCAATTGAGATCTTGTATACCTGTGACATCATCCATTCATTCAATTAATCAATACCAAACGTAACATAAATTCCTCATAAATCAACAAAGGAAGACATAAGAAACTCACGGAATTACGAGAAATCGGAAAAAAGCACAATCAAAACACACACAATAATGATAAACGACGAACCTCTTTCTCATTGAACATTGGGATTTGAATAAGAACCAAAGGGAAAGCAGAATTCCCGATTTCCAAATCATCACGAATGGGTTCCCAATTGTATCGCTTCTCTGGCTTCTTCCAAAACAGCTTAACAAGGACAATTACAATACCCATGTAAAGCCTTTCGAGAAAAAGCATCACCGTCATCGCCAAACAGACATAAACAGCCAATCTCAACAATGGCACGATCAATGGCGCCTTGATTAGGTCCCATAGCAAACCAATTTGCGCCGCCAAGTCCACCGACGCCCCCGGAAAACTCTCCGGTATCAGATTCTTCCCGGATATAACGTCACCCATTTTCACTATCTGGTTTCAACCGAAACAGGGGAAAACAGGGGAAAGTAGATCTATGGAGATTCGTTAAATGTGGGTGAGATTTGGGGGTTTCTCTCTCTACCCAGATTGAGAAAGTGGTTGGTTTTGACACACACTGTCTTGATTTCCTTCCTTCTGCTTACAGATTATGCCAAAACAGTACTGCTTCTGTGTTTCTATCGAATCATAATAGAAGAGAAGCAGAGGTGTGTTGTGGCATTGCTGAAGAGAGGATAGGAAATGGTGAGGAGAGTGAAGAGGGGTAGAGAGAGAAAGAGAGGAGTGGAGCAAGTGAAGGAGAGAGAGAGATGGAGGGTTTTTTATAGTCAAATTTATAACTTTTTATTTATTTATTTATTTATTTTGTAATAATTTTACTACTACTGACTTTCGACTCTACCTTGCTCCTCTTCATTGTGCACTCTTTTAATTCCAGTCCCTCTACTTCTTTGTATTTACATTTTTAAGCATCCTACACATAGGGATTATAAGCTTTAGACACTTCGGTAAAAAATTTAATCGATGGTTCTCTATATTGGGATTATAAGCTTTAGACACTTCGGCAAAAAATTTAAACATCCTACGCATAGGGATTATATCTTTTTAATGATACAAACACCAAATTTGTGTCTCTAAAAGAGGATTCCTACATAACCAAACGAACATATGAAAAATTTATATTATTGAATTCTTTGAGATAATGAAATATGAACTACTGATAATATTTGCTACTTCATGTTAGTGTGTAGTATTATTTTGACCTTTCATTAATCGATGTTTCCTTCCATTTTCAGCAATAAAACAAATTCATGAACATTAGTTGTAGTTTTTCACCATTGTACAACATTCACTTACACTTTATATATGTAGACCACAACTTCATCATTATAGGTAATAATAT